GGCTTCGCGATCATGACCACCTCCGCCTGCTTGAATGGTTCCGGGTGATGACCCAAGGAGAGGCACCTTTCGAACAAACGACGGATATGCGTCCCGACGATGTGCCACACGGCTTTGAGAAGATTGACGGTGATGCTATCCGCCCCAGGGGAAGTATTGCCTGTATGGATAGTCGCATGCTGTGCCTCGTCTAGGGAGACTTCGGGTGAGAATGTGATCGATCGAGGAGGAGAGACTGGTGTCCAGGGGTCTCCAATATCGTCATCAGAAGTTCGGCGTTCCAGTAACGCTCCCCGAAGTGCGCTCGCCTTGTCCATCTGAGTTTCGTATACAGCGTCGTCGACCTGCAGGGGAGGCGGCTGGAAGGGCCCCGGAGATTTCAGCCACCGGACGGTCTTGAAGACAGCACTGCTGCTGGAGAAGCTATCGATGAGTTCCCGCCAGTACTTTCGTTTTGCTCGGCGGACCACGCGATGAAAGTCTCTCTTGGCGATCTGAACATCCTGATTGAAGCTGAGGGGGTGCCTCCTTCTGATGGCCCGGAATGCAGCCGCGGCACAGGCGCACTCTTCTGTCCACCATGGAGCTGGGCAGCCACCTTTCCGTGAGGGCCGACCCACTGCCTTCGCTGCTGATGTTAGCAGATTTACAAGTGAAGACGCAAGATTGTCCAGCTCCGCGGGCGTTGAATCTCTGAGGGGGATCTCTGTGGCTCCAAGCTCTACGATCTCGACGAATCGTTTAAGCTCATCTTCTGTCGTCACTCGAATCTTGCCCGGCTGTAGTGGAGCGGGCTTTATGTTGGGGAGAGTCAAGCTGAGGGTGAAGTGGTCGGAGCTAGTGGCGAGATGGTCCTCAACAGTGGCTTCAGCAAGTGGGATGTTGGCAAAAGCGAGATCGATTGTGTTGCCGTGTGGGTTTGTTGGGATATCTAACGTGTTAAGCAGGTCGATGTCATTCTCTGATGCCCAACCGGCAATCTCTTGGCCGCGGTCCGTAGTCTGCCCTGTCTGCCAGCTTCGATGTCTAGCATTGAAATCGCCAGCGACGAGGCAGCGTTCCGGGACAGGCCATCGAAGCAGCGTGTCAAGGGCATCCCTTTCGTCGTTCTGGCGGTAGAAGTTGACTACAGTCACGCCATTGATTGTGATCCAGAGAATATCGCGAGTCTGGAACGGTCGTATCTGGTCAGCGAGAAGCCTTGGGTCTCGTCGGACATATGTCATCACTCTAGGTCGAGTATCGTTACTGTCCCAGGACTCTACTGGCGTGAACGTGTCGTAAGCAGGATGGGTCTTCGTCAGGCAGCGCGTTTTCGTATGGGCTGTCCACGGCTCCTGCAGGAGCACGATGTCATATCGTTCCGAGTCAGCCAGTGCCAGAGCGCAGTCGTGAGCCGGAGGGATCTTGCCGACATTGGCCTGGAAGACCTTGAGCGGCTTCCTGTCGTTCTTTCGTGTCTGCGAATATCTATTCCTGGTCATGAGGACGAGTAATGAGTACAATTCGACGCTTTCGTGGCGAGCCTGGTCTAGGATGCTCGGGCTCCTCCATTTCATAACCCGCCCTGGGGGCGGTGGCCACCATGATGCACGAAGGTGCTCGTGACGCGGCCGGGCTCGAGTCTCGAGCGTCTGGACGTTCGTCTGCTGGGGTATCGTCCCTCAGCAGCTCGGTCGTGTCTTGTCGGATTTCTATGTGGGATTCTGGTTGTGAATCCAAGTGACGTTGTCGGTACGTCTCAGCGCCCACTATTCTGATGTGTTCCCGTTGTTCTTTGCTGAGCCGGCGGAGGACGCCACGCACTTTCTTCGGCCG